AATGAAAGGTGTCAAGTGGCTTACAAAACGTCCAGCAGTTTGCAAGACGTTTAAAGTGGTCTGCAAAACGTCCGAGGTGATTTGCGAAACGTCTAAGTTAATGTGAAAATGATATATATATATATATATATATATATATATATATATATAGAGAGAGAGAGAGAGAGAGAGAGAGAGAGAATGTGTGTGTGAGAGAGAGATAATTTCGACTGGCTGGTGGCCGCGTGGTCTGCACGCCTGCTTTGCAACCACAAGTTCACCGGTTGCAATCCGCGTAAAAGCGGGTGTGCTCGCGGTATACTCAGCCCACACGCGATTGGTGGTGGTCGCGTGGCAGCTAAGAGCAGTTGCGTCATACAGCCGACGATAACTTTTATTTATTTTTAGGAGTTCGAATACCTGGACGCGTTGACAGATAAGACGGTGTGACGATAATATTTTCCATGTATGCACAACGAGATCGCAGGTCCATCAGCTGTTGAAATATACGCAGGGTACCGTTCACTAGGAAAGATAGCCGATTATATCTAGTCAGAAAATGGTATGGTGATTTTACGTAGACGTCGTGCGTCATCATCTACAGCACAGAGATAAGTATCCAAAAAATTAACTTCTGAGAAATTCGACTGCGTTGAATCTATCGAAAAGATCCTCCGATGGTGGCCTTGAGTATTGGTGGAGACATAATCATCTACTCAGAGAAGTTAGAATATCTCGACTTAAGCGAATGGTTCTGTTTGCAGTTTTCGCCATCACCATGGGTGCTGCCAAGTCTGAGTATTCTACTTTTGATATCACCCCGATTGCTCCAAACGATCCAATTCACCATTAATCATTTTAAAGGAAGCAACAGTATAGGTCTTTTTGGGTCGGAAAACGGGCTTAACGTTATACCTTAAACAGATGCCGTGAATTTAGTGAAAAGGTGAGTGTGCAGTTAAACACCTCTTGAAATTAAGTTTGTTTATTGTTAGTGCTTGCAGAATTCTGCACTGCGTAGCACTGCCATAACGAGTTCGGAACTGATCAAATTTCTCGGTTGGATCTCACACAGACACAAGAAAGACACCCCAAATGTTCAACACGGTGATCTAGTCGATACCAAGTATTGTTACTCCAGGGTTGTCAGAAACGCGAGGAACGCCATTTCGTGTGTTGTTTTTATAAACATACTTGCAGAAACTCTTCTCATATAGCCGTCGGATACTGTTCGAAGCACTCCTTGCGGTATTTTCCGCGTTGTGTAGTATCGGTCAAACGATGATTAAAATGTCTGACTGGAAATAGTGATAATGTCAGATGCGCTATGCAGCTGTAAGCACACCGAGTAATCAATTATGCGAATGAAATCCTCACTGCCTACTTGCGTAGACGACCACCAATCCCGAGTTGTTTCATTCAAAAACGTCACGTATTGTTCAGGAAATGGATTCTTTATTCCTACCTCTCTGTACATTGCTTGAACAGGATAAGTTGTCTGGTCAAGTTTCAACCTATCGCATGATGAGTGCTTTGCTTGTACAGTCCTCTTTATGCAAAAAGTAAATTCAAAACTTTTTCGCTCACGTTTAAGGTAATTTTTTCATTTATCATATCTGTAAGCTTTCGGATCAGGGAATTCCATGTGTCAACTTGGCATTCGTGGGTACCGGGGCGAAAATTACTGTCTGGATATAAGAACTCACCAGAAAACCAGTTTACTGTAACCAAATGAGTGTTGCAACTTCGTGTCTTGATGCATTGAGTATTGACCCTTCATAATGCCCGAATTCATGACCGAGCAATTAAATAATAAGGCCTTCAGTTAAGAGCCATGCATATTGTGCAAGGAAGACATTTTGCTGTACGTATCACCTGACTCAAGGTGGCCCATCGTCCCCTTCATTCTGCTATGTTACTGTGACCTTCCTTGATGTTGGAATCCTGATGCAAAAGTAAGTTGCACTCGCTACAACAGAGCTGCCTTTTAGTGTCGGATAATGTTAGTCCAATATATTGTGCCTCATTGTGGTTCATGAATTAACTTCGGATTTTTTCATTATATACGGGTAGAAGGAATTTTTTGTCCCCACATCCGTACGTTACTGCAGTACTTTCAGGAACAAGTGGAACATACATTGCTTCGCATGCAATATTTACAATCTGATCGGTCGTTCATGCATTGGTAAGGCAAAATCTTGATTGACTCGGTTGCTCCAGTGGTTCTAACATCTCTCATAAGATTACAAAATTGCGACAAAAGGATATACATGTGTGTTAGCTTGGATAATATAGTAAGTCCACAGGTGCGGGTTTCACTACAGTGTGACCTTTTTGCTGAACTTACGTAATTCACACATATCATCCCACGGGAGTTGGCAAGACTTGGCATTTTAACCCGCACTATACCAATGTTCCATTGTATGAGGTCACAGCTGGGCACCTCAGCGTTTGGAGATCTCGTGACTGATATTTTAAAGGCTCTAATCGATGAAAAAACTTCCTCTTACTTGTCCTTGTATATCCAACATCAGCCCATTTACACAACTGCCGCTCATGAGCGATGGTAAGTGGACCCACAGTGTGGAAACGCTTGATCCACCTCTTTAGAGAGAAGTAGTGATTCTTGGAATCGGACAAGCTGGAACGCAACTGTCCAATGCGGCTTGGGAATTACTATGCTTGGAGCATGGAATTAAACCTGATGGTCTTTTATTCGATTCGCTCAACCCAGAAGATTGCTCGAATAACCAAACATTTTTCCAAGACACTCCAACGGGTCAGCAGGTGCCGAGGGCTGTCATTGTGGATCTTGAACCAACAGTGATAGGTGGGTTGCCCAGTTTTTGGTGGCTGAATCGGATCGATTCCAATAAAGGCTATCATCACCCTCATCTTTTCCAAAGATGAAAAAAGGTTTCACTTGCAGAATTCACTCACCTTTCGGCCTTTGTATGAACTCGGGTAAATCTAGGGAGATGAAATTGCATTATAAGAAAGTAGTAGCTTTCATACTCCACATTAACCCGTAGGGAAGTTGTTGCTAGGGGCATGTAGGTAGCATCAAATATATCGAATAAATCACCTAAATAACAATAAAAGACTAGCGGTCAATATATTGTTTTTCTACTAGACAAATGCCTACCTGAACCTAAGAGTTCAATGTGTAGTTGGCCACTCCTTCTCTTCAGCGCGTGTTTTAAGTAGTCTCTTCCCACATTGTTTGCACTTCCGCTCGGACCTCGGGCCTGATCAGTATGGTACGATGGTTTCCATAATGCCTCCAGCGTCCCAACCAATTTCACCTGTTTTCGTTCCATTTTTCCCCACTTCAGTCTAGTTAGCAAGCTGCGATCTGTGCAACCCTGGGTGGTAAATTAATCTACTCTACCTCACATGACCAGAAAAGTTAAAGACATCTGTGCAATAGAAAGAATGAAGTGAACTACTTGCTACTAAAATAAACAAGAGCATTATGATCAACAGTACAATAGCTAAAAGTCAAAGTAGTGTATTGGATACTATCTCCATACATACCATAATTTTATCATAGGTTTTATGATTCCTATCGAGGATTCTGTCCAGGACGACGAAAAGCACCAATACACCTCAGCTTCTGGATACATTTGTTTGCCTTTCTTTACCTTGTCATTTATCATACCGCCCGAAGAATTCACTCAGGCAGCACATAACCAGGCGACCAATCAAAAGGTCTTCGTAATACGTCATTTAAATAACCTAGATTATCTAAATACTACCTACGACCCCAGACCGTGCCGGTCGTTCGGTTGCCAAGTTTCTGTCAGGCGACATTACTATAGAGTATTAGTTGTTCTAACCGAATAGAAGCAAAGCTTCTCGGGCACCAGTTGTAGTCAAGCATATAATAGCAATTTCATCTCACTTTGTTTTACTATCTAAGGAACAGAAATTGCCCCAGCGGACGACGGCGTCTCAGCAAGGAGAGTTTACGGCTTAGGAGGCTAACGTCGTCCCCCGCGTCCAGAAAACATGCATGCAATGGAGGATGAGTATACTTAATATAACAAATTCAGTAACTTATTCACGGCTGATCCGCAGGTGCGTCGTGGCCCAGAGGTTATAACCGCGGACACATACGCGTTGCGATCGAGCTTTGGCCACACAGGGGATGATTTATCCAAAACATAACGGACCTCCATGACCTTTCCGGATGTGCAGTGCGATCGGACACTTTGGCTGTGACGAATATTTTTTAAACAAGCTTAAATTACCGAAAGCTGAGCATCCATCAGCACTTACAAAGTCATTGCATAAATTCACTATAAAACTTTACTGCGTTTTCACTTAGTGCTCACAGACTATTTGCCATGGGGGCTCAGGTATACAACAGCAAGAGTGCATATAGAATAACCATCACAATGAGGCTGGACCATACCGTGGTGCGATGGTTTGCGTGCCTCAGAGATCCATTGCGTTATGCTTGGTGGTGCTTTTCTTGCACCTTCAGAGCCACTCATACCAGATCGGTCAATGGTTAGAGACCAGACAAACTCAGCCTCCTGGTCCTCCAGGTTGGGGGTTGGAATGGGGGTGGCTCCTCATTTCATAAACCGGACTCTGTAGTCCAGTGCCAAAACCCGCTGCCTTGCGGTAAGGTTTTTGAACCAAAGGCTTTGGTTGAGAACCCTAATCATTCTCCTGTCTAGGCCTGGGCAACCTGACAGTATTCTGCCCACGCAATACAATGAACCTTTCCTACAACAGTTTCTTGATGCTCTGGCCGTCGCAGAAGATAATCAACGGCGCCCCATCTGCTGCATCGAGCAGGGTGGATGGGGTTTGGATGCTACTGCTCAGGCCTTCCCGTCTTCTTATACCCCTTCTTGCGCTTCTGCATCCTTATTGTTTCGCTCCAACTTTACTTATATCCCCCCTATTTTCAATCTCCCAATTCTCGGCCCTCCCCCAGCTTACTTCAATAGTCGCTTGTCTTCTAATTTCAAATCACACACAATCGCAGGGCCTCGCTCCAATCCAGTCGACAAGTCCATGTTCAACCAAGCGGACAACGTCAGTTCATCCGTTTCCCTTTGGAGTCCTCGTGTCTCGCTAAGATTGGCATGCCCCAACGTGCGCACTTTGCTGCAGATTGGCCAACAGGCAGCAATTGCCCGCACACTAGAGACCCTATCGATCGATATTTGCTGTTTATCAGTAACCCGCCTTCAAGGTTCGAGCTCCGTTGTATTTGGTGCAGGAAGAGCGAGTGAACCGCTCAGCACGATTATATCACGCACCAGGCTCCGATGGCTGGGCCACGTGTTGCGCATGCCAGCACACCGACTCCCACGACGTGCATTGTTTGCGCGTTATGGGTGTGGTTGGAAGAGGAGGAGGGGAGGCCAAGTGATGACTTGGTCGAGAGAAATGAAAACCCTCACTTCGAAGTTGGCGTCGGTTGGTGCATCCCGACTGCCTGGCTGGGGTCCTAAGGACGGTGAACACGTTTGGTTGGACACACTTGCTGATATGGCTAGGAGCCGGCCCCAATGGCGTCTGTGTTGTGAGTTCCTTTGTCCATCCCCCTCCTGTTTAGCATCCCCCTCCAATCACGATCTCAGTCGTTAGGCATAATATGACTTTCTTTTACGACAGCCGGCTGTTAGCTCTCCGGAACGATGCCCATCCGTTACTGGGGACTCCGCGGGCGTGCCACTGTTTATTTGTTTTTTCTTTTCTTGCCTTTTGTATTGCGGCACAATAGCTGAGGTGTTTTCCACCTCCATCTAACGTGTAATGAGGATGATGATGATATAGAATAAACTTTTCCAGGTCGGCCCCCAATGAAACATGTAATTTGGGTCTTAGTAAGAATTTGCCGCCATTAAATCCTTACAAGGGCTATTATCCTCCTGCCCAGACCTATCTTAATAATATCAATAATATTAATACTAATCGTGAATTAAAATGCAGTAAGCTGAATAGCAATACTGCCTGTCCGGGTTCGATTTCCTGTCGA